GCAGCCTTTTCCGCCGTCGTTGCTAAATCTTCCACATATTTACGTTTGTCGGTTCTGATGCTCCTCTTCACTTGTTTGTTTACTTCTGTGTATTCAGCTTGTGCCTTGGCTTTTTCTGCTCTTGTTCGACTGGTATTGATTGCTGCCTTCTTGTTCCTTCTTTCTTGAATCTTATCCAGTGTATCAACAGTGATCCATTCCTTGTGGTGGTGCTTCTTGTGACCCAGGACCTCATGACATGTTGAAGTGATTGCCTCTTTGATCCCCTTCCAGTTGCTCTCCACAGTAGTTCCTTCTCCATTGAGTAGATCATGAAAGGCCTGGAACTTGTTGCTGAGGACTATCTTGAATTTGTTGAGTTTGTTAGTATCCTGAAGAAAGGCCGTATTGAACTTTTGTGATATTGTCCGCCCCGTTGTCCAGTGCTTCTTGAGTTTCAATTTCATCTTGGCGACCAGCAAGTGATGATCTGATGCTATATCAGCTCCTCTCTTGGTTCTCACGTCCTCTATAGTCCTCCTGAACGTTTTGTTGATGCAAATATGGTCGATTTGGTTTTGTGTAGAGTGATCCGGTGAAGTCCATGTGGTTTTGTGTATGCGTTTATGTGGGAATATGGTGCCGCCTATGACCAGCTTATTGAAGGCACATAGATTTGCAAATCTCTCACCATTTTCGTTTCTTTCTCCCAGTCCGTGTCGTCCCATGATGTCTTCATATCCAGTGTTGTCCGTTCCAACCTTGGCGTTGAAATCTCCCATCAGAATGGTCAGGTCCTTTGTTGGGCACTTCTCGACGATTGACTGCAGCCTATTGTAGAATTGATCTTTAGCGTCTTCATTGTAGTCGTTGGTAGGCGCATAGCATTGGATGATGTTCATTGAAATACCCTCTTTCTTTGTTTTGAACGAGGCTTTGATGATCCTTGGTCCATGAGATTCCCATCCTATAAGCGCATTTTGCGCTTGTTTGGACAGCATCAATGCAACTCCTTGTGTATGTGGTGCATTTTCATCTTCATGGCCGGAGTATAACAGGAGCTCTCCTGTAGTTAGTCGTTGTTGTCCAACTTGTGTCCAATGTGTTTCACTGATCCCAAGTACCTCTAGGTTGTATCTTCTCATTTCTGCAGCAATTTGGAAGGCTCTCCCGGTGTCCCACATTGTACGAACATTCCATGTACCTAAATAAATGGTCGCTCTGGTTGTCAGAAGGGGCATCGGCCTCGTAACTTCCGAAGGAATTCGGCTTTCATCATGAGGCGTCATAATTCTTCTAAATGAAGACCTTCTGACTCCCAGGGCAGAGTTTAAAAGGTTTGAATAATTTTTTCTGGTTAGCGTTTTTTTAGCGAGTTAGTTTTCTACGGGATGGGGACGCTAACCCCATGCCCAACCCTCGATACATCTAACTTATATAATATTAAATCTTACATTTCATGTGAATTTCAACGAAATTCTCTTAAATACAAAACAAAGTGAACAGATTATGTAACTGACAGATGATAAAGCAATATAGTTAGTTCACCATGGCAGCGTAACTTTTACCATAATTTTCCTGTTTTACACAACGTTCATGTGACAAAACCTTCATGATGATGGCCTCTACAAAGCAGAGTAAAAGCCATTTTCTCTATTTCCTACTTATTTTAAACCACTTTGTGATACTTATTCTATGCCCCTTATCAATTAAATATCTAGTGGTTGCGCTTGTGAACACTTTACCTCTTTTTAAACGTGGCTTTCGTGGAACATGTTTAATAAAACCCCTTGTATATGCCCTCTCAATGTTTATTTCGTACCTGCTGCCATGAGTACACTTCATAAATGCATTTGGTGGTGAGGTCACAGGGGTAATGATCCACGCTTTATTGTTTTGAAGAACATTTGGTGTTATATACTGAAATTAGTTGAGCTAAAGGAAAGGTTCTTCAGAGTCGCTGTCATCCTTTTATCGATTATATCCGAAATATCATCCCCTCCAAATGCAAGTTGGATGAAGATATATTTTTTAAACAGTTATTCGTTTGGAACCTTCCGTGAATATTTGTGTACTTCACTATTAGTTTCTTTGTATATCCACTTTTTATAAGGTATTTTTCAGTGGTGCCCCATTTGTCCCTCTGCTTTATTAGTTGAACATAACCTTCTAGCCCTACCAAATGAGATTTTGACTGAACAGCGTATGCGACTAAGAGGACAAATCTTTTATAGTTTAGGCATAAGCCGTCTATGTATGTTTTCTGAATATATTGTCTTTGTTTGTCCATTGTTTTTCCATTTTATGTTCAGGTCAAGATAGATAAACTGATCATTATGTTCGAAACTCATTGTTACATTTTATGGTTTTACGTGATTCGTTAAAGTGGCAAAGTAATTTTGAAACATGATTCATATCACAATAAATACAAGCAGATAATAACACTACTGGATGCCGGCTCAATGGTTCAGAGGTTAGGCGGGACCGAAGGTCCTGGGTTCGAATCCTGCGTGCGGGATGGTGGATGCTCACTGCTGAGGAGTCACGTACTAGGACGAAACGGTCGTCCAGTGCTCCCAGGTTTTTAGCGGTGGTTTGACATTATCGGTTCATGATTTCAATAAAAGCTGTATAGTCTCCACAATTCTATATTGATAATAAAAAATTTAATGTCAACATGCCTTCAATAGAGTGTGATATTTTCAGTTCCGTATTTGAATCACTTCTGTTCAAGGTTAGCTATGAAGATGCCGGCCAATGTAGGCCTGACTAGTAATCCCATGGTCACTCTATCGCTTTGTCCGCATAACAGGTTGTTTAATTTAAATTATCCCCTTTTTGTCCATTTAGGCATTATGGAGCGGAGGAAATAATTCATGCTCCTGGGAAACCATATTTACGGTTCATTATATTGATAAATTTGTAAATGATAATCAAACACTAAATAGTAGGGTTTATCTATCCGATATATCCATCTGGTTCTTTCGAAAGTGAAATGTTTGTTTCAAGATTTACATGATTTTATAATCAACATAAGTCTTGAATGATCTTAACTATTATATCATATATGTTGTTTATTCTTCGCCTTGTGTTCTTAAGTTTTTTCAAACTCCACTTTATTGAAAACATTGATCATAATGACCTGGTATGGCTGAGAGTGGGGAGAGTCAGCTCTCCCTCTCCAAATGCTCTCGCATGGCCACGTGCATATAACCACTGCAAGGAAAGTCCTACTCACTGCATTCTCACACCACAGGTGTTGTTTACGGAATCGAGAGGACAAAATGCGAATGTCCGACTCTCTAACCTAGTTGGTGGACACAGAGACTCCACCTAGGGGGGTTGGAAAATCCTCATTCAAACCAATGATGCACATGGGCTCCAGTATCCTGAATGAATAAATGGCTTATGAACCAATTATTGGTGACCGGCTACCATGGGACTGTATCTCATTGCGTTGCCTCACTGCCAGGTGGATCAGACCTTTAGATCAAAGGTTCGGGGTGTGGCCCCATAAGGAAGTCACCTGTTTTTGTTTGGGCACTCGGTTACTATCCCAGCCCTTACACAAATCGAATGTTTACGTGGTGCATCTCTATTCGGTTCCTCTTTGTTGCCTCCTTGTACCAATGTTTATGTGTTTAAATAAATAAATAATTCTAAACCGTTTGTTCGTTTCATTTAAATTTAATAGATTTAACTAATAGAAAACGTTGACCATCTCTCAACTTAAAATTGGGTAAAATACCTTGAAACTGTCACATGATGCTAGTCGTATAATCTAGTAAAAAATAACTATCCTACATGTAAATTGTAATTCACGTTTTAGAAAGTTATAAAAATACTACACGAGATACTAGTCAAAGTAAGTTTATGCTAAATTCTACCGATAATATACGTTAAATTAATCGGTAATTAATCGTTTAACATTAAAATAAGAAGTTATACATTTATTAACAGAGGTTGTTAGTCAACTGAAATTTGGTCCCTTCGAATATACACAATCTTAAAATAATCCTATTGGCTAGTGTTTTATGAACCATCTCAGAATGACTGTTTTTGTTGATTTTGTAAATGACCAATTTAATTAAGTATCTGCTTTGATATGTCAGATCCTGAAGATATATAACTCACATCAGCTTCATATCGATGTGTATAAATGTATTGTGAATATATCTGGAAACTAAATGTTTATGATTGGAATGATTGATTAATTTGAGATTGTGAATTAGTTATTTGATATGAAATAGTTCTTGAAGTGCCCGTCTTAATTTACATCAAGCTTCGATATCTCGTATAATTTTTCAAGGAGCAACCTGATATTTATATATACATTAAAAAATGATATCAATACCAAATTTACTTCAGTCGACTATTAATTTAAAGCTAGAAGAAACTCGAATAGATTCGGGAATCGGATATAATTTCGAAGTCATATGATGGTCACCGTCTACAACTTGATGCTTTTTGATGATCTCATATCATTTATTCTTATTCAGATAAATTCTCTATTTTAGATAAATGATTGTATAGATATCTGTAAAGTTTAAAGGTGAACTTTCATAAGAATCAACAAACTCATAAGAATTTGACACGTTCGGTCATAGATTCAGTATTGGAATAGATATTTGGAACTACTTGTAGAAAAGCATGACATTTAAATCTTTCAAATTTAAATATTGGAACGTTGTTTACCAAAAAAACAGCAAAAACTATGTGTCATAAGCTGAATTAACTGGAAATATTTTTTTCAACACTGTATTTCAGTTAAGTGACTGAATGATACTGCGGTTGCAATGAGAACCAACTGTTTTGTCATTGACTGATTAGATATTATGAAATATATTGTTTGGATGAATACTTTTACGAATGGATTTTATCTCATTCAAAAAAAAGAAGTGACATTTAATTAAAATGACGAAAAAGCAAAGCATTCCTGTATGTTTTCCCACAAGTCCATTAATCAGATCTTCATTTCATTTATTACTGCTTACATTTTTTTCTTTTCATTTTACTGACAGGAAAACTTCGATTGGATATAGAATATCAAAATCATTCAATTAAATTACACGGTAAATTCATGTTTTTGTTAAACTTCTAGTTAATCTTCTGTTAGGTATACAAATTTAGTAAGATTGTAGTCGTGACTTTGAAGTGTTTCAATTTCTTGTCTAAGTAAAGAGGTGTAAAGGTTCCTTTATCTTTTAAATATTTAACTAAATCATTTATTAATGATGATTTAAACTTAAGTGACAGGTTATAATCAGTATTTTCAGTTCTATGATATTAATCATAAAATAAGATTACATAAATCAATATTTTAACCAGAGAGAGGTTTTGTAGAGATCGTAGTAATATAACAATTGAGTTTATGAGTCTATTGAAGGAAGACCATCATAGAAAACCTGGAAACACTGGACGGCCGTTATGACCTATTGTGGGATTCCTCAGTAGTGCGCATCCACGATCCCCCCTCACTAGATTCGAACTCAGGATCTGTCGATCTCACGCGTAAACGCCTAACCAATATACCACTGAGTCAGCATCCAAAGGTGTTAATATATAACTTCAACTAATCCACGAAATTGAGTGACACATCCACCAATGTCTTCGGTTAGTTACTACCTCACAACAGACCCAGTTAAACTCCACGGGTCATTGCTTCTCATTAGAATTTATTATAATTTGTTAATACTCATCCAGCACAACTACTGATGTTTATTTCTATGCAATCTGCGTATATTTTTAGCAATTCGTCATAAATATTAATCATTGAAAAAATAATAACTCAAGTCCCTTTTTATTGCATGCTTATAAATCTGTTCCAATTATTATTAGACAAAACCGACAGAACATCTTACTAAAATCTGAGAACCATACAGTAAATACTTAATTTGCAAAATATCAATCAATTGTCTCAAACTTAACTGTTTCTTTTGTAAATATCAGTCCATCATCTGAGATTTCATTGTTCCTTCATTTTCATACCAATTGCTTTCCATTCTCTTTCTTTCCTTCTCGATCTTCTACTGAAATACATTCTAATCCTAACTATCGTTATATACCAGTTATTTGGATATAAGTAGCTCACACCACAACGTCTTCAAACCGCCAGCATAACTTGAAATAATTTTATGAAAAGTGGAAATGATAATTCTTCAGTAACATTCAATGGATATGTAGGATGTACTTTGCAATAAATCTCCGATTGGTCTGGGTCACCCTATACAGATTGATAGCTTGTGAACATAGTAAACTATGTAGATTTTCAATTATGATATTTTAGGATCTTCGTCACTGACCTTCAAACCTGATAAATTTCAAGGAATTCGCATGTAGCATTTATTGTAATTAAGTACCTTTGAAAACTGAAGACCGTCGGAAAGCTTATTACTCTTAACGTGGGACTCGTCAGAAGTTGGCATCTCTGGCCATTAGCAGACGCTGTGAGCACATGACCCTCATGATGAAAGCTGTATTATTCATCGGTTCACCTTAGCTATTGAGTTATAGTCATATGTGCAGAAATTCATGGAAAGGACTATGATTCGACAGGATAAAAAGGCAAAGTTCAACATGATAATTTTACAATAGGACGTAACCTTTTTAACGCTGACGGCTTATTCTGATAAGCTAGAAGCTCATTTGAGTTAATAACTGTGCAGATATTCTGGCTTTCATGGCCACATATCAACAATCCAGTTATGGTTAGTAAAGGCATTATTCTTCCGTAATAAAGAAAATGTTTTCATAATGCTGTGATAAGTGAACCAAAGGAAGCATAAATATAGTGATTGGATAGAGTGAGAGAAGAACTAAGTGCAGAAATCTACAACTATTCTTCATCATATAGGACTAAGATGTAACCACTAACAGTACATAATTATTTGGATATATGAAGCTTGTGGGCTAGGAGGGTAGCTGATTCATTCAATATTTTCAATAAGTAAGATTATAACAAAGACAAACTTTACTACATGCTTATTGAAAGATTGAATAACAAAGAAGAATGGAAGAAAAACTATAGAGTTATGTATTCTTGATCAGAACACTTCAGTGAATGATAAGTCAAAATTACTTGCCATTTATCCATTGATATGTGATCAGTTCAAGAGTGGTAGAGAGGTGGTTATATAAACTTAAAAAATGCTAGTTGTTAATTCAAATTTAATGATCAGTAACTTAAAGTACATCTATTAAGCTTTAAGATGAACACTCAACTACCCTATAGAGGTGGTTAATATAAGAGAGTCACTAATCTCCGATAACAAAGCTGTCCAGCATTCCCAATTTTATACGATGTTGTTTGCTTATGTTATTGGAAAGTTATAATATGTTTGTAGAATACAGCTATATTGTGTGAGTATATTCTTTATATTATCATCTCAGTAACTTAAATATCTTTTTTTCACTTTAGTAATTGAAGCCAAAGGACTTCGTACTACTACCAGTCAGAACTGCAACTCTTTCGTGAAAGTAAGCGACTTTTATCGGATTCTTTCTTGACCAACTAAATACTGCTGTAGTATTTTTGAATGGTTATTGTAAAAAAAATTATCAGTCTTATCATGCACTAATTCATACTAATTATGCTACAATTCTGTTATATTTACCGGTTCAGGTGTTCAGAATAAAATGTTTCAATTATCTTCTCAAAATCCGATGAGAAAAACTTCAAACCTATCTATTTTAATGGTTGAGATCATGAGTCAATTGAAGCTAGACCACCATGGAAAACCTGGAAGCACTGGACGGCCGTTTCGTCTTATTGTGTCTCTCCTCAGCAGTGTGCATCCACGATCCCGATACTACTATGACCACACAACCCCTCTCTGATTATAATTAATAAGTATAAAACACTATTTGGAGTGATCATTCCAATTTATTTAACAATACTGTGAATAGTCCTTTTTTCTTTGACAATATATCATCATTAAGTCATGATCTTGAATTCACGACATCGATGAAGAAGACACTTTATAAATGGTACTTTTAGATGATGGAAATACACTTAAACATTTACTTTTATATATCAATCAATTGTGATTACATCTCAGTCCTACAGGAGGTTAGTCACGGCTCGGATAGCTCAGTGGTAACGTCTCTGACTGTGAAGCTGGGTGACACGAGATCGAATCCGCCTGGGAGCACCAGTTCCCTCAAGATTACAGGTACACCTTGCTGACGAGTGCCAAGTAGCACGAAACGCGGGTCCAGGGTTTCCTGTTGACTACCTCCAACCACCATCTAAGTCTCAATACATAGTGCCCGCAATGTCGAGTCACCTAGACTGGTGGCCACATTTCAACATGATCGATAGCATTCGATCTGCACTAATAAGGACTAGACAAGCATGACATTGATCACCACCCAGTGATCAGTCAACTGTGTTTATATATATGTATCAGAATTTATGGAATTTTTTTAACACTAAATGTTAAATGATTAGATAGTTCACTTCAGCTGAACAATTTTGCTATGAAATCTGACTAAGGGTTATTGACCAGTGGATCGTTAATTCAAACACCATAAATAACCAAAAGTTATGAAATTAATTAATCAAGAATGTTTTCACCAACTGATCATTAAATATTAACCAATATCATGTTTGTCTGATCATCATTACTGATCGAATTTCGCCTTCAACAGACTAACATTTAAACCGGAATGATTTACTTAGGTAATTATTACCTTTGCAAATTACATAGGTGTCAATACATCGTTAACTTAATCTATCTTTTTTTTTCTACGATTTCAGATAAGTGCATCTCCAGACAAAGGCGTTACATTTGAACAAACTACTGAAATAGTCGAAAATTCAGCAACACCATGTTATAATAAAGAATTTTTGTTAAATTTAAACAAAATAAAATATTGTAAAAGAATTCATCTTGCAATCTATGCTCAATCAACTAAGGAGTTAGACTGGTGAGTTGACCTATGGTTTACATCATTATTCTGGATGTTTTTATACTTATTATAAGTTGGATAATCAATGAAACACCTAAGTATTTTTAACTGAATCTTTCAAACCTTATATATAGATATTTAAAAAACTGGCTAACATGAAGACGTTTCGTCGTAAAACGTTGACAACAATTCTATAGGCAATTAAATTTTCTAACTAAAACATCTTTACGTCATAAAACTTAGTAATAGCCACTTGTTTTACTTGTATCTTCCCATTACTATTTAGGACTGCAACTGATCAGTCTCTAGGTAGCTAAGTGAATTATGCGATGGCGTTCGAAACAGACGATACTGGGTTCGAATCCCGGAGCGAACATTAACTCAGATGCAGGTACATCCAGCTGACGAGTCGCAAGTAGGACGAAACGCGCGTCAAACTGGATTCTAATGCTAGCCACTACCCATCTTTGCTTATAAAGCTTGCGAAGTCAGGCAATATCGAGGCAATACACACAGGATGCACATATGCCAACAAGAGACTGATCAACTGCAGTGGGAAGACACAGGTAAACAACACCAAATGAATTAACAATGTTCATAACATTTATGCTGCAACCTATTTTATTGAGAATCAAAAGTGTGGTTTTTAAAAGACGTTGGATTCCCATTAGTTACTATCTGTTGAAAACCTCAATTCCATTAACTAAGAACTTTCGTCTAAATTTTGTCGAACTGTTTCACAGTATTTGGGGGCCGAGTTAATGTGAAAAATTAGAGGATGAATGCATTCTTTCGCTGAAATTTTACAAATACATTCTTCCTCTTTAAAGTTCCATTAAATCGATTCATTGTAGGCTGAAACATTGAATTTTTGAAAGAAAAAGTTCCATTTTCTCAAGCATTTTTATAGAGAGATCAGTAAATAGATAGTTTTAATTTCTTCAATTAAATGCTAGGAGACACTGAAGTATTATTCTCCAATGTTCCGAAACATTTGAAGTTTAATGAAGGTCTAAATTAGTTTTGGTTTTGTCAATTGTTAATCAGTAGTTCACATACTGATGACGCTATTCCTATTAGGCATCACTAACCTGAATAATGCATTGTAAAGGATATAGTTGTTAACATTTGATAGCCTTTAAAGCTGTTTCGTCACATTATGAAATTCTTCTTAACTCTTGAACGTGATTACATTTTCACTTCATTCCTCGATTCACGTTTAGTTCAGTTGATGTGTGGGCGAGAATGATAATGATTGGTTGTCTGCTTAGTCAGACATGTAGATAGTCTGACAGGTGTCAATTGAGTTATATATTGCCTTATCCTTATAATTACTTATTATTGATTGTTCATTGTTGTTGAATTGTGTCGGGTTTTGGTGTGGAAATATATTTACGTTGTGATCAGGTTAATCACGTGTTGTTAATCTGAGTTGTGTTGATGTCCTGTAGAATAGACACTGGGAGGGAATCTAGTGTAGATATTCGTCCAAGGTAAATTAACGTCCCATAAGTGTAAAAGTGGAAACCTAACTGTTATGACATTAGACGAAGTAAAAGCGAGTGTTATAACATCAGTAAATTTGTTTTAAGTCTTCAACCCATATTCCTTTTATTACTATGCATAATTAGTGTATGCTTATTACGTTACTACCTATTTATAACTCTCTGATCTTTTGTATTTTCAAATGGCTTTATAATTATGATTTTTTTTAATCTTAGAAGTTGTAAGTAGCTAATAAGAACTGATAGAAATAAAATGTTATTCTGCTCGACCTTTGGTTTTTGCTCACTGTAAGATGACTAAAGAAACCATTTGCATGACGGAAATATTTTTGTATTGCTGAGAAGGTTTGAAATTGTTATTAAAAGTTTATTCCTGACACCAGTAAGTAAAAACAATAGCGCCGAACAAGTCAAATACTTGGCACTTTCCATACACATTGTACATAAGTAGTAAATCAGTGAGTTTTTGTTTGTTTTTTTTTTGCTTGTTGCGATTTGCTTTTTGCTACACAAATTGAAAATATCAACTCAACTACAATATTATCATGGAACTCTTTCAAATATTCTTCAGTATTATGCTATCAAGACTGAGAACTTGACCTCCAGGCATAAAGAAGATGAAAATGAAGATAACGTTTGACCTGTGAAAAACAATTTCTTATTGAATAATACCATTCTTTATACACAAATTTTCCTGACAGTGGGAATTAATTGCATTTCAATAATTATAACTTTAAAACAGATTTCATTCGGAACCAATGTCAAAACTGGGTGAACAGATAACAGTAATTATCAGCATACAATAGGAATAGCATACCCAGATAATTTATAATTGATATTAAATGTAAAATTAAATAATTATCGTATTTTAATCGTTTAAAGATCCCCGTCATATTAAAAGACTAGTATTTGGACGAAGAATATTCTTTTCGATAAATTCTCATCAGGTTCTACAGTTATATATCCAAATTAATAATCCGAAAGAATGGCCAGGTTAAGGGTAAAATACATCGTCTAGAGCATGTGAATTTAAAATTGTGATAAACAAAATACAATAAATCAGAATGGGTTTTGTGGAGAGTTTTTTTAGAAATTTTCACAGGTTGAAATCATGAGTCAGTAGAAGCTAGACCACCATTGAAAACCTGGAAGCACTGGACGGCCGTTTCGTCCTGGTATGGGACTCCTCAGCAGTGCGCATCCACGATCCCGCACCACGCGGGGCTCGAACCCAGGACCTACTGGCTTCGCGCGCGAGCACTTAACCATTAGACCACTGAGCCGGCATCCAACGGTGTTAATGTCTAGCTTCAACCTGAAGTGGTCTAATGGTTAAGTGCTAGCGCGCGAAGCCAGTAGGTCCTGGGTTCGAGCCCCGCGTGGTGCGGGATCGTGGATGTGCACTGCTGAGGAGTCCCATACCAGGACGAAACGGCCGTCCAGTGCTTCCAGGTTTTCAATGGTGGTCTAGCTTCTAGTGACTCATGATTTCAACCTGCGTAAAATACAATAAAATTGTTAATGTTAATATGACTCATATAGAATGTAAACTTGAACCAGCTTATATGTTAAGTAAAATTTTAAGATCCACGATCAGAATAAATATGGGTCAAATAGGGTGAGACAGAAATAATAGCGCAATTACAATTCAATCAAATAAGTAAGACGTAATACGGAGGAATGAATGCGAAGTGAATGAACCATGTATAGGAAAGATTAATAATGATGTTTAACCAATAATAATAATAATAATAATAATAATAATAATAATAATAATACGAATAATAATAATACAAAGATTTATGAATAAAGATAACAGGGACAATTACAATTGACTACGAAAGGTCATAGTCAAATTAGTTCATTCAATACTTAAGATTACGATTGATTAATTGGCCTTGATGTTGGCCAGGGGAGGAGGAGTGGTTGAATATATTTCTTGTGTACTCAAAGCTCCGGTTTCTTCATCCGGATGGCTATTGCTTCAGCCGTTTGAAGGACTTTCAGTCTGACCAATTTTGGTAAAAAATTACTTACCTTATAAATAATTGAAAAAGATTGGTTTATACTGGCACTATGACCGGTTTGTACTAAATGGGCCAATATTGAGCTGTTCACCTTCTTCATCAAACCTTTATTTAGCCACGCTGGAAGGTGTTCACGAGCACGAAAATGTAAATTCCTAGAATTTCGACCAATATAACTCGCTCCACAGGAGCAGTTGAACTGATAAATACAAAATGAGGTGGTCATTCTAGGTAATTCATCTTTTAGCTTCGGTGTAACCATTGGGCGCGTAGAAAATACTAATCGTAGTTCTCCGGCGTTAAAAGACTTTTGTATTGTCCTACGTAATCTCTGAGTTAGTATATCGCTAGCCGCATCCCCTCCGAATTGTAGACGCATGAACAGGGATTTGTTTATCACAATCCTAAATTCACATGCTCTAGACGATGTATTTTACCCTTAACCTGGCCATTCTTTCGGATTATTAATTTGGATATATAACTGTAGAACCTGATGAGAATTTATCGAAAAGAACATTCTTCGTCCAAATACTAGTCTTTTAATTATCGTATTATGTTAAGTTCTCTACTTGATTAATCCGGAGTATAGTAAACAATTACGGCACTCCAACGTATAGAACCTCCACAGTCGCATATCAGAAGACAGAAAAAGACTGAAGAAGTGCTTGCTGGGCAAGAATTAAAATGCATTTATAGATACTATAATTCAATCATGTTATGCTACGGCCCAATAGTAGCATGACACGTTGATATTCTAGAAAGCCTCGTTGCGTTCTAACTGGATGAAAACTCTTTGGCTCCTTTAGGGCTTCTGAAGGCACCGTCGTATTTCTCGGAAACTGTCTCAACGATTATTTATTTAATTTGCTCACAAAATAAGTACTAGTAGTTCAGTGAACATTGGTGGGCTGGTGAACCAGAAGTTCTAAAATGGGTAATATGTATAATGAACAAAATCCAACACTAAATAAATAGAGATTCTAAATATCTTCCATCTACTGTAATAATATAAGTAAATGAGTTTTTTTTTAATTTGTCAAAGAATTCATATATTGATATATATCGCTATGAGTTCTGCTAGTTCAATTACCATGTAGTAACTTATAATTCAATTTAGTTCTTAAATTAAAAATGATGTGTATAATAAATAATTGTTAAATCCAGCTTAATCTATACAAAGTGACGTAATTCAGAGAAAATTAACAAATCAGTTACGTTATAATCCCCATTTGTCAGTAAGGTGACTCTATTTATATTTTTATGAGCTTTGAAGACAGTTTACAACACGAACTGATGTCAACTGATGAATACCGTGGAACAATAAACAGTTGATACGCTCTATTGTGGAACTACTCAGTAGCGCAAATTTATGATCCCGTAATATTTCGTACCTGGTACTTTCAAGTCCCCTCAGAGGTACGCCATACTTTAACCAATGAGTTACAAGTCAAAGTGTGCATTAAAATCTTTTAATCAAGTTTAGACATACAGCATAATCATCTAGTTTCCTCAGTGAATAATTGATTGAGGTCATGGCTAATTCCAAAGACCGTAAAATTCTTCCAGTCAATTGGTAAGTGTAACATCAAGCTTTTCGCTAATAAGCCAGGTAAGTATTTTCTCCTGCAATTAAAACAAATTCATTTCTAGGTGTTTTCCAGTGTAAAGTTTAACAAGTTTAATAAGGCAATGACAAATTTGTGTTCATGAAAACTACAAATTAATCAGGGAATTGAAATGTAAATCAGTTGAACGATAAGATATAACAAATTTTGTTGTCAAGCTAGAACATTTATTAAGTTCAAAATTAATTCCGATTATCTCTAGTTGCCCAAAATATCAAAATGACTTATATTGACAATACTAAGGCTGTAATTTAATTGAATAATCACTGCAAAGGTTTATACTTAATTTGACTAATTTTTTTGTAATTTCGTTTCAAGTGAATTTCTTGGTGGAATGTCTTTTGGTATTCCCAGTATACAAAACAAGAAACACGTAAGTCAACTAGATGCTTATGATTTAAAAGAAGTAAAAATATTTACACTTTTTGTTGTGGTATCTACTTTTTGTGAATGTTTTCTTTAATGAATGTTCGCATAACTTAAGAATCTATTTTTAACCAGTATAAATCCAGCTGTATTAAGTAAGAAAATTTGATCGATGAAATAAAATCTTTATATATGTACATATATATATATCGTCAGGTGGGATCGTGGATGAGCACTGCTGAGTAGTCCCACAATAGGACGAAACGTTCGTCTATTGCTTCCAGGTTTTCCGTGATGATCTAACTTCAATTGACTCATGAATTCGACTATTAAAAAACACGAAGTTCAACGAATTTATTATCAAGCTGTACAATCGTATATATATGAAAATTTTGTTTTTTGTAAAAGTACTAATTCCGTGAGGAAATGTGAACACAGTTAATAAAAAGGGGTTATAATACTAGATTACGTAATATGAATAATAATAATAGATTTAGTGAATATAATAAGATTATTAAAATGTTTTTGATATAATAATTAAAGGTCATAGAGGTGTAAAGAATAAAGTGATATGATGAGCGTTCATGAATAAAACAATGACAATATAAGACATAAGTAAAGGGGGAATGCATCAACAATAGTAATAATAATAATAATAATAACAATAGTAGGATAATCAAAATAATTAAGGCCAAGGTAACGATAACGATAAGACGTACTTCTTTTGTACGCATAGTTCTGGTTTAAGCTCCTGGATGGTAAGAGCTTCGGCTATTATTAAAAGTTGGATGCGAAGAAATCTGGGTAGACTTGAACGAATCATATAGTAGTAGTAGTTAGTAGTTACTCCTGTTACTCCCAATGGAGCATAGGCCGCTGACCAGCATTCTCCAACCCACTCTGTCCTGGGCCTTCTTTTCTAGTTCCATCCAATTCTTGTTCATTTTTCTCATGTCTATCTCCATTTCTCGGCGTAATGTGTTCTTTGGTCTTCCTCTTTTCCTTTGACCTTCAGGATTCCATGTGAGGGCTTGTCTTGTGACGCAGTTGGGTGCTTTCCTCAATGTGTGTCCTATCCACTTCCAGCGCTTCTTCCTGATTTCTTCCTCCGCTGGGATCTGGTTTGTTCTCTCCCACAGTACGTTGTTGCTAATAGTGTCCGGCCAATGGATCTGAAGTATTTTGCGTAGACAACTGTTAATAAACACCTGTATTTTCTGGATGATGGCTTTTGTAGTTCTCCAGGTTTCTGCCCCATACAGTAGAACTGTCTTGACATTTGTATTGAAAATCCTGACCTTGGTGTTGGTTGACAGTTGCTTTGAGTTCCAGATGTTCCTCAGTTGTAAATATGCTGCTCTTGCTTTGCCGATCCGCGCCTTCACATCTGCATCAGATCCACCCTGTTCATCAATGATGCTGCCCAAATATGTAAAGGTTTTTACATCTTCCAAATCTTCTCCGTCAATTGTGATTGGATTGGTGCATGCTGTGTTGTATCGGAGAATCCTGCTTTTCCCTTTGTGTATATTGAGACCTACTGCTGCTGAGGCTGCTGCCACACTGGTCGTCTTTTCCTGCATCTGTTGTTGCGTTTGGGATAGAAGGGCCAGATCATCTGCGAAGTCCAGATCGTCCAACTGCATCCTAGATGTCCATTGTATCCCGTGCTTCCCTTCAGACGTTGACGTCTTCATGATCCAGTCGATCACCAGGAGAAAGAGAAAGGGTGAGAGTAAGCAACCTTGCCTGACACCGGTCTTTACCTCGAACGACTTTGTCAACTGTCCTCCATGCACAATTTTGCAGTTCAATCCATCATAGGAATTCCGTATGATATTGACTATCTTCTGAGGCACGCCGTAGTGTCGAAGAAGTTTCCATAGTGTTGTTCTGTCCACGCTATCAAATGCCTTTTCGTAGTCAATGAAGTTGATGTAGAGTGATGAATTCCATTCAATTGATTGTTCCACAATGATCCGTAGAGTTGCGATTTGGTCTGTACACGATCTATCCTTACGGAATCCTGCCTGTTGGTCACGAAGTTGGGCGTCTACGCAGTCCTTCATCCTGTTTAACAATACCCTGTTGAAGACTTTTCCCGGTATTGAGAGAAGAGTGATGCCCCTGTAGTTATCACACTTGCTGAGATCGCCTTTCTTCGGTATTTTGATCAGAAGTCCTTCTTTCCAGTCTGTTGGTACTTGTTCCTCATCCCAAATCTTATTGAAGAGAATGTGGAGTATCCTTGCAGTTGCCGCTACGTCTGCTTTTAGTGCCTCTGCTGGGATGTTGTCCGGTCCTGCTGCTTTGCCACTCTTGATTTGTCTGATGGCCATGCTGATTTCTTCAATTGTTGGTGGGCCAACATTGATTGGGAGGTCCGTGGGTGCTGCTTCGATGTTGGGTGGGTTCAGTGGAGCTGGTCGATTCAAGAGTTCTTTGAAGTGTTCTACCCACCTGTTTTGTTGCTCTTCAATGTTGGTGATTACCTCGCCTTCCTTGCTTTTCACTGGTCGTTCTGGTTTGCGGCGATTTCCAGAGAGTTTCTTTGTCGTGTCATACAGTTGTCTCATGTTTCCTTCTCTTGCAGCCTTTTCCGCCGTCGTTGCTAAATCTTCCACATATTTACGTTTGTCGGTTCTGATGCTCCTCTTCACTTGTTTGTTTACTTCTGTGTATTCAGCTTGTGCCTTGGCTTTTTCTGCTCTTGTTCGACTGGTATTGATTGCTGCCTTCTTGTTCCTTCTTTCTTGAATCTTATCCAGTGTATCAACAGTGATCCATTCCTTGTGGTGGTGCTTCTTGTGACCCAGGACCTCATGACATGTTGAAGTGATTGCCTCTTTGATCCCCTTCCAGTTGCTCTCCACAGTAGTTCCTTCTCCATTGAGTAGATCATGAAAGGCCTGGAACTTGTTGCTGAGGACTATCTTGAATTTGTTGAGTTTGTTAGTATCCTGAAGAAAGGCCGTATTGAACTTTTGTGATATTGTCCGCCCCGTTGTCCAGTGCTTCTTGAGTTTCAATTTCATCTTGGCGACCAGCAAGTGATGATCTGATGCTATATCAGCTCCTCTCTTGGTTCTCACGTCCTCTATAGTCCTCCTGAACGTTTTGTTGATGCAAATATGGTCGATTTGGTTTTGTGTAGAGTGATCCGGTGAAGTCCATGTGGTTTTGTGTATGCGTTTATGTGGGAATATGGTGCCGCCTATGACCAGCTTATTGAAGGCACATAGATTTGCAAATCTCTCACCATTTTCGTTTCTTTCTCCCAGTCCGTGTCGTCCCATGATGTCTTCATATCCAGTGTTGTCCGTTCCAACCTTGGCGTTGAAATCTCCCATCAGAATGGTCAGGTCCTTTGTTGGGCACTTCTCGACGATTGACTGCAGCCTATTGTAGAATTGATCTTTAGCGTCTTCATTGTAGTCGTTGGTAGGCGCATAGCATTGGATGATGTTCATTGAAATACCCTCTTTCTTTGTTTTGAACGAGGCTTTGATGATCCTTGGTCCATGAGATTCCCATCCTATAAGCGCATTTTGCGCTTGTTTGGACAGCATCAATGCAACTCCTTGTGTATGTGGTGCATTTTCATCTTCATGGCCGGAGTATAACAGGAGCTCTCCTGTAGTTAGTCGTTGTTGTCCAACTTGTGTCCAATGTGTTTCACTGATCCCAAGTACCTCTAGGTTGTATCTTCTCATTTCTGCAGCAATTTGGAAGGCTCTCCCGGTGTCCCACATTGTACGAACATTCCATGTACCTAAATAAATGGTCGCTCTGGTTGTCAGAAGGGGCATCGGCCTCGTAACTTCCGAAGGAATTCGGCTTTCATCATGAGGCGTCATAATTCTTCTAAATGAAGACCTTCTGACTCCCAGGGCAGAGTTTAAAAGGTTTGAATAATTTTTTCTGGTTAGCGTTTTTTTAGCGAGTTAGTTTTCTACGGGATGGGGACGCTAACCCCATGCCCAACCCTCCTCCTTTATCCGGGCTTGGGACCGGCAGTAGCCCCCGGAGGGACTCCAGGCGGAGTTATCACAGAATAAACCCAGATTTAAATCATATTTTCAACTTTGCTTACTCATTGATTTTGTGCTTTTAGATATGGTTCATTCCACTTGTTAGAATTGCTCATATTAACTTCTAAAAATCCACCTTAAAGTGAGATATTAGGATTAAGACGTTAGATACAGCTCCCTGCTTCCAAAATATTCTCCAACTAGGTAATAATCTTTCCTAGAATTTTAAGCACATTTTGTCAAAGTGTTGATGTCAGAAATGTTAACATTCACTTATTTGAACCATGATTAGTCTACTATATCATTTCATTGATTACATTGATCTATCTTTTAGTATTCACTAAGGTTGTATTATCTAACTATCGGTAGGATTCAATTAGCACTAACCACTAACTAATCTGTTTTCTGTTATTAACTTAAAAGCGATTAATGAAAAGAAATCATCTAAATTTTAACAGCTTATGTTGTTTGATTATTATTATTATTAAGGGATTGGGACGCGTAAGCTTATCTTCTATGGATACAGAAAATAAGTTTCTACTAGTGAAGGATATTCGCAGTTTTGCCGCGTTAAATGTTCTTCTAATAGTTGTTGTTAGACGATTTTTGATTACGTCTGATGTTCGATCACCTTTAAATTCCAGACTTATATAAATGTTTTTCTTTGGAACGGAACAACTAGAATTCTTGTCGCGACTACTTATATTCATATTCTTTTCTGTGAACCGTTCTGGGTAACCATTTTCCGTCAGTGTTTTCTTGAGGAATTCGCGTTCTTCGTTAATGCATTCCGTACTGCATATGTGATGTATGCGATAGCATAAAGAATGGATAAGGTTTCTCTTCCTACTTAACGGAATCCAGCTATAGAAGTTGGTTAGCTGTCCATTGCATGTCTGTTTTCTAAAGATGGATCTTTTTAAAGAACTATTACTCTTTCTCATCAGACGTACATCGAGAAAAGGAATTGATTGGTCTCGTTCCCTTTCTAACGTGAAGTCTATGGAAGGGTGGCACGAGTTAAAGGTGTGTAGAACATCATCTAAATCAATATTATTGTCACAAACAACAAACGTGTCGTTCATGTATCTTATGTATAGGTGGAATCGATTGATCATTGAACGGAGTTGGTCGTTTTCTACTTTTGCCATGAAACAGTCTGCTAAAATTGGACCCAATGGAGACCCCATTGCGATCTCATCCCTTTGTCTATATATTTCCACAAATGGACTTTAAGGTTGTTTATATGATTTGTCCAAATCTACCCAGATTTCTTCGCATCCAACTTTTAAAAATAGCCGAAGCTCTTACCATCCAGGAGCTTAAACCAGAACTATGCGTACAAAAGAAGTACGTCTTATCGTTATCGTTACCTTGGCCTTAATTATTTTGATTATCCTACTATTGTTATTATTATTATTATTATTACTATTGTTGATGCATTCCCCCTTTACTTATGTCTTATATTGTCATTGTTTTATTCATGAACGCTCATCATATCACTTTATTCTTTACACCTCTATGACCTTTAATTATTATATCAAAAACATTTTAATAATCTTATTATATTCACTAAATCTATTATTATTATTCATATTACGTAATCTAGTATTATAACCCCTTTTTATTAACTGTGTTCACATTTCCTCACGGAATTAGTACTTTTACAAAAAACAAAATTTTCATATATATACGATTGTACAGCTTGATAATAAATTCGTTGAAAAGAGATCCCTTCGCTGAAATTCGTGTTTTAATTTTAATGTTTAAATGGGAATTATCTGTCTATTAAAAAACAACAATTATTCATTTTGTTTTAATTCCATTCAAGTAAAAAAGCACAAATACTCTGCTGTAGATAAATAGATATCAATGTATTGGTTAGAATTTGATTGATTAATTTATCACTCAACTCTAAATATCAATTTTTTTCTTTGATAAAATTAACTTATTTGCATATTGAATTTCATTTCATGCTCATAGCAGAAAACTCAAACTGTTTATTAACAAAAAAATGAAAGTCATTTAATTCACCACACTTACTTACTAACTTACACTTGTTACTCCTCGTGGAGAAGCATAGGCCGCCCACCTGCACTCACCATCCGACCAAGTCCTAGGAAATCCTTTTCAGTTCATTCCAGTTGTTATTCATACTATTCATATCTGTTTCTATTTCCCGACGTAATGTGTTCTTTGGCCCTCCTCTTTTCTTCTTCCCTTCAGGATTCCAAGATAGCACTTGCATCGTGATAAAGTTTAGTGATTTCCGCAATGTATGTCCTATCCAGTTCCATCACCTTTTCCTAATTTCCTCTTCAGCTGGAAGCTGGTTTGTCCTCTTCAACAGTAGGCTGTTGCTGATGGTATCCGGCCAGTGGATGCTGAGTATCTTGTGTAAAGTGGGAATGTAGTCAACTTAAATGAAATCAAATTAGTTTATGTTTCTTATCTTCATCATTAGGAAGATCATTGAAACCAAAAAGAAATATCAGGTAGATATTTCGGTGTGAACTGAAATTATTCATTAATGTATGTTTACAATTCTAAAGTGAATTAAATATTATCGATTTCAGGTCATGTTAGTAATACGATAACGTGATACAGTTATTTCGGAATACAACTGTTTATAGCTCTAACATTAGCCAATTTGTAAAATGGTGTGACTATAATCCTATCCCACCAGTGATACGTGTCTAACTAAAGTGCACACTAATTGAACAAACATATATTCATGTTTAAATTTTAATTTTCTTCTACTCTATTGTTCATAGATCTCAGGTTGGTATTATTTACTAGATGAAAAAATGTTTAAAAAGAAGCACCTCAAAACTGCTTTAGATCCTATCACCAACTTTGAAAATGTTTTATGTGCAACAAATGAATTAATCGTATCAGATATAATGAAAACCGAAGCTGTCACTGATGCTGTGACAACAAACACATCAACAACAAATCAACAAATTCCTATTATTCTAACATCAATTAATGAACATGTCACACAACCAAGTACAAATGAAATTCATCCTAATATAAATCGTAATTTCGCTAGTAATAATCACAATATAAATAATCATTGTTCCAGGGAATTTCGTCCAGTATTGTCACCTACTAACTTTATGATTTATTCACAAAATCTGCCTAATACATTGTTACCATATCAAATTAGTAACCCACCAGTTAATTCACATTTTCCACAATTTTCATCACCAGTTCCTATACGAGCAAATATGTCAATTCCAAATACGAATAAAGCTTTAAGTAATATGAGAATATTTCAAGTGAGTTAAATTGTTTTCACTTAAGTTTCTATAGTTTTCACCATATACGTATCTAAGCTAGGATACTCATTGAATTTTAGAAGACTGAATAAAGTAATATTGCTCAACAACCTTTTATTGTTATTCCGTGTATAAAATGAACAGATTCAGCATACCTATGACTGAAAGCAAACAATCTCCATTAGTTTTTGAGTTTATATTAGAAGCAAATTCAAGCTTATCATCATTTTATTGAGCACTAGTATTTGGCGGCATGTTAAATGATTGTAGACAAGCGGAAGAAAGCCCTAAACTTTTGTTTTGTCTTAGTTAACACTCATCATCGAGGTACGCATCTAGTACAGAGAAAAATGATACTACATACATAATTCAGTCTAACGCCACTAAGTGTCAAAGATAAGGACTTTGCCACTGAGCTATTCGACAGTACTGACGATAAGAACATCACATTGGTTACTCTTCACTAATTATTCAGTATAAATATTATAGTCCAGCAAGAAGTTAGACTAACTCAGTGGTAATGTCTTTAGGTGACTTTGAGTAATAAGGTTTCGAGTAATAGTTTCCTCAGAATACTATACACACCCAGATGAAGAGTGAGAAATAGAGTGAAGCCATTATCAAATATGACTTTTGTCGACCGGCCCCAACCATGTGACATAGTGCATACGGTGTCGAATAACTTGGAGAGTATTGGTCATATTGCAATTGGATCGGTGGAATTCCATCATTACTTAGGATTAAAAAGCATAGCATTGGTTACTACTCTATCATCCATCAATGTGTACAAATCGTTGAGCTGACTTGTCAATTTTAAGAGTAAATAAATAAACTTCTTCATCATCTTCAACACTAATAAACCCAAACATATTTGTAATTATGAAAGAACGTACAAATATTGTATGTATTCGAAGGTGTGCTACTTCTTGTATTGATTGATTAGCTTCAACTTCTAAAGATTTACATTAGAATATAGCAATTACATTGCAGCTTATTCTTGTTTTCATAATCTGATTTATGTGAGTAATCACTTGTTATTAATTAACCACTAATTATTCTATTCAGTTCTGTCTGTAGTTACTATTGTACGACGGAATTCTTGTTTTTTTTATCAACTTTTACCTTTACCATAATGTTAATATTGTAGTCCTATAATCAATTCTACGTACAATAATTAGGAATTGCAACACTTTGGATGATTTTGAATAATCTACATTTGTGCTTTCTATTTCTTTTTAAGTTCTCTGAAATGGCTGGTTTAACTAAATATCTTTTTGTCGTTCTGGAATAAAATATTATCACATACTATCATTCAGCATTCACTTCTACATCAAATTTTAGGGAAGTAGTACAAGTTTATTTAAGAGAATTCAACATTACTAAATTGTTCCAATTGAACTAAAAGTATTCTAAGTTATTTCAAATTTCCAAGCATCACCTCCTTAACAACTTTATAGTAGTATTCACATTTATTTTACTTTATTACAAGTTACAATTAGTTCAGCTTTTAGGTAACTGGAAAGGAATTCACAAAATATATAAATTGATATCCTCCTTTTTTTCGCCATATTCTTTGCTTGCCCTGTATTCTAGTTTTGTTCTTCTAATTCGTCTTATTATTTTACTACCAATGGCAACTTTATTTATTTTTCTTTTTTTTCCAATACTCGGTACTCATTTCAAAGTAGTACAATGTACAAATTATGTCAAATAATTTATCAGATTTCATACTTATATTTATGTTTTCAGCTGATCAGTTTAGATTGGCATCTTTACACCATAAATGAATTGCTTATATTGCTCGATATTTAGTCACAAATTTTAGTTAAATTAGATTTTGACTAACAGTGAAATTCAAGATATGCATTTTGTCCTATTTACGAGTAGTTAATCGAATGTTCCTGAGTTTCAGTGTTAGTGTTTACACAATCATATATATACCATCTAATGAGAAGACCTCGATGTTGACATTCAGACACAAGTTTCAATGAGGTTTAACTAAATCTATGTCATAGGTTCCACGTTTAGTCACAATCCAACCTTACATAGATCTTTCATGTGAATTTTTCATGTACACTTGTACACATGTCTAAATATGGATACGGACATAGAGCGAAATGACCTAGTGAAAGTTTGATTTGTTAGTAACTATAGACAAAAGCAAAGTTCTATCATTTATTAGTATGCGAAATCCAGTAGTTTAGTTACATGATATTACCTTAATTTGTCGAGTAATTAAGGTTAAATTTTGCAAAATGTACGATTGGATTTATTGTATTTCGTTATATACAGATACTAATACTTGTGATAGCTGAAAAAAACTGTCACTTGCTACTTTTTATAGCGGAACAAATATTGATAACATTTGGAGAAAGGAAGAAAAACTTCAGATGAAGGTTAATTGATGAACCAACTATACAACCACAACTGATTAAAACGACATCAAAATATTACAATGAGGTGTAAATCATTCCTACAGATTCGGTCAACAATTAAAGCTGAATAAATCTAGCTGGTAGTAATCAATGTTAAATAATCAATAAGTTGAGGTACAAATGTAATTTACTGAATCAATAAATGAACTTTTTTTAACTAATGAACATAATTAAAATTACTGATTTACATTTTTGCTTTTTCCTGATAGGATAAGAGAAAGCATTTACTATGATTACGTAAAACACTGTTTGAAAGTAGGAATTTGTCAACCGAACACCTTTTTGATAATCTTTTATTATTGTATAAGACCAAAAACAACTTTCACTGGTTACGAATAAAATTTTCATCACTTCATTGTATGTCGAATGAACTGAAAGTTCATTTAGTAACATCATTATGACACATATGAATATGGAATCCGTAAACACCAAGAAAAAAACAAAAACAACTAATTATTTATTTTAAAAGTTTAATATGGAATTCCTCTAATCTGCATGAAGTTTTAGAGTAACTCACTTGTGTCCGTTAGTTTAGAAAATTGATCGTTTTCGAAAAAAGCATGTACATTAATTGTATGAAACAATTACTCTATTCAAACTATAACATTTAAATTGTCAAGATTCGTTTTAGTAAAACAAAATCGCTGCTTCTAAATGTTTGTCATTTGTAAGTGTTTGTGTATATTTAGAACTTCGCAAGATAAATCTTAAACCTGTTAATCAGATTAACAATTACAAAGCGGACTGTGCGTTAATGTTTGAAGCGATAAGTGCTGGATTCCAGTCTAAATACGAACATCAATACCAGGCAAATCAAGGTGAGGAGTCGTAAATAGGACAAAACAATCCTTCTGGACTCAACTATTCACAAAATATCTTACTATACTTGTGAATCCCGATTGACTAATATTTCATATATGAAGGTCTTTAAAAATCGGAGGTCACTGGGTAGACAGTAATTTAATTTATAGCCTGTAAACTTTAGTACCATGGATAAAGATTAACACAAAATTTGACTACGAATACATGATGACAGCATCAGACTAAATGTCGAATCCAAACTAAGGTTTGGACTGAAGAATAACTATCTAGATAGTTTAGATATGCGCTATTTCTCAGTTGAAACCAAAACAAGGTGATTGGGTAATAGAGAGTATCTAAACTGTCTACACAGTTATTCTTTAGTCCAAACCTTAGTTTGCGTCCTATAGTTATAAATACATAGTACCACCCGATCATTCAACCAATAATTGTTCAACCAGTAACCAAATCAAGCGCAACAAATAAATGTAATTCTACCTTTCTGGATAGATCACGTACAGATTTGTTCGAAAGATAATATTTGGTTGTGTTTCCACTTCTTAGGCTTTACTCTAATATACAGTAATATTTTAACAAGTACAAAGTGTTAGCGTGATGACATAATCGGTAATAAGTCAATAATTAAAAAAATATAGACACTAAAATAACATTCATAGAAAGATTACAAGATTACGTAATAAGAAGTGTTCAAATAATTGGACCGTGAAGCGTATATTTGAGAAAAGAAAAAGGCTGGGAGGATAAGGAGAAAAATAGACGAACAAAGAGTATGGAAAAGAATAATAAATAAAAGCATTTATTAAGGCCAATGGAGAGATAAGGATGTTACAAATTTCTTATAAACACAAAGACTTGTATTGTTGGCTCGAATTCCTATAGCTTCTACTATGTGTAAGAGACGAGATCGAACACCATAAGAAAAACTAGTAGGAATACGATAAATAACTTTAATTGATTTGTTTCTCTCCACTACATGACCACTATCGATCAAGTGTGATAGAACCGAGCTGCGTATTATTTTGACATTACCTTTTACTAACCACGAATGGAGGTGTTCACTAACAATTTGGTTCAGTTGTCTGGTATCGCGCCCAATATAGCTTTCTTCACAGGAGCAGCTGAATTCGTAGATACATATAAAAATGGCATAATCAGGTAACTTATACCTCAACAACAACAACAACAACACTAAATATAACATTTATTAATGACTAATCTCTATGGGTTAAATAAATTACAAATAGATCAGGTAGAAAGTAAAAGAATGAAAGTAAATGAGAAACCTAAGAATCATTTATATCAATTTATTTCAATACACAAATTATAAGTTTCACTAATGGTTATTATTACAATAAATCAATAACTTTCAAACATACACAACTAGAATGATGATTCAAACAATAACTGTTTGGTGCAACATTAAATATAACAGTTGTTCTGTTAAAATATAACCATAACAACAACATCAAGGAGAAGAAGAAGAAGAAGAAAAGGATAATAAATCTCCTCTATTTTAAATGATTTATTTGAATTGTGAACAATTTACATGAAAGTATTTGTGGTGAAACAATAATTTATGAATAAACTAATCAGATTTATGATAACAAATCTTGAAATTTTGGCGCGAAATAAATTTTTTAATTTGGTTAAATAGAGTTTTGACATTATAGCTAATATTAGTTTGTGATGAAAACTCTATATATGTAATTCTTGTTATATCGCGATGAGAATAATGAATGGTAACTTCTGGGATCCATTTATGAACCAATACTATACGTATATTGTTAGGATAGTCGGAAAAATATACCAATAATTATCGTGTTAAGTCTATGGTGGCCTTGGACCTTAAATGTACATTTCTTATTGGTCGATGTTTATTTCACTTGTTAAATATTTTGTAAATGTTATTTCCTATTTTATGGTACGATGTGGTGTGCTTGATTGGTATATAAACAAAGTATGTTTGAAATATAATGATTCATAACTCAGAGGCTGTGACTTGCGTTCTTGACTCAACTGGCTGGGACAGACTGCGAAGCGGGGCCAATCAGGGCACTAGGTCGTCCGTCCGTGTTTACGTGTCCATTGAATCGATCAATACAATACGCTGCTTATCAAAACCTGCAGTCTCACACCCGTTACAACATATATATTTAGTGCATAATTGATAAGTAACTAAACTATTCATATTCGTGTCCCTTTTATTCTGAGCTTTATTTTGACCTATGAACTGTTGTTATACGATATACCATTCATGAGTTATACCCAATCTATTAATTACTATCTCTCACATTCACAATCACATTTGGCTAAATCTTGTACAAATGTTGTTTCCTATTTTGTGCTTCTACGTGGTCTGTTTCGTTTGTATTTAAACCCAGTATGTTTGAAATAAATGATTTATATCACAGAGGCTGAGACTCGTGTTCTGGACTTAACAGGAAGGTCTAGGCGGGAATCAGGACCGATATGGACTCTAAACTACTCGTACAGGTTTTATGGGTCATTGGTCCAGTCGATAATTCACTGTTCTCTTATTGATGGCATCATTACATTGTACATTAATAAGGACACAGAGCACAGTTATAACAATTCCTAAACCTAACTGGAAACTGTAAATTCCTCACACTTAATTATAATCTTCATTTAGCCATAGTGTGTAGGTGGATACTCTCAAAGTCACTTTAGAGGTGCTCAAAAGTTGTCCATAAATTATAATCTCAAAAAAGATGAACGAAATAAGACAGTGTTAATTGTGAAACTGAACATCATTTGAAAAAGTAACCTAATAACATTCGTTTTGTCACTTACATATATATACATTTTTCAGAGAGGGGTTTTTTGGAGATTGTAGTAATTTGGTAATCGAATTAATGAGTTAATTGAAGCTAGACCACCATGGAAAACCTGGAATCAATGGAAGGTGGTTTTATTCTAGTATGGGACTTTTCAACAGTTCTCATCCACGACCCCGCCCCACGAGATTCGAACTTTGGACCTACCAGTCTCGCGCGCGAACGCTTAGCCTTTAGACCACTGAGCCGGAATCTTTAATTATTGTATTAATTAGCAAGTTTTGTAGAAAGAAAAATAAAAATTAAATTTCATTCACCACTAATTTTGATCATAAGTCTCGATTTGCACTGCTTTTTGAATTACTGAAAGACCTCAAATTGGTTGTATAATTTATGTTCAGAAATATAGAAGTTCATGATAACAAGAAATAAGAATTTTTAAATATTACTTTCCTTATGTGAAGTTATATTACACAGTATAAAATTAAATTTGACTACAGTAGACTTGTGGAATATACATTGTAAAATAATGTATCATTCAAATGCAGGTTGAATAAAACTAAGCTTACTAGGACCGCTAAACTTACGGTTCTGTAAACCTGGACTTTCAATAACCTGAACAGTAAAACTAGAAAGGAAAAAATTGATATTATTGTGACTTTAAGCCCGGCTAATTATCACTTGATTTATTCGCCAATCGAAATACGACTTATACAATTTTAGTACTGTACCAAAACCAATAACGTTCGACCGGTACGGAAAGCCTAGTGTCCTTATTAATTGTTTGTCCTCCTAGCCCGTCCAGTTGAGTCCAGAACATCAATAACAGCTTCTACTATGTGAATCATTTGTTTCAAACATACTTGGCTTCTATACAAGCCAAACAGACTGCATCAAACCATAAAATAGGAAATAACATTTATACAAGATCAAGCCAAAAAGTGGCTGTGAACGTGGGAGAGTGTTATCAATAAACCGAACATAATTTAAGAATATCAAATCGTATAATAGTAGTAATGTATAGGTCAAAATGAAGCTTATAATATGAGGAATATAGATACATATAATCTAGTTACTGAATAGTTATACAATAGGTATGTATATATAATATTTGTCCATTAATAGGTCTCAGAAGTTACCATGGCATATAACAGATATATATAATCATGAACAATTCGTATTTTGTAAGAATCGATATAATACTTTTGATGGAGTTGCATTCTTTGAGGTAGAATACATCATTAAAATGCTTTCATTGTTATTTTGGACAACAATTAGAAGAGCCTGTTTCATTTTGATCTGATATGATTCTGCTCAATTTCATAGAAAACTTACAACTGTCTTCAATGAAGTTAATTCACTTTTATCAACTCAACAGTAACTCAATTTGAGTTTGAAGGTTAAATTTTGATTTGTGTTATCTTACTTTACAATTTCTATGCATTTAATGAAATTGAGAATTAGTTTTATTCTTATTCGGAGTGACCGAGCGGTCTAAGGCTCCAGACTCAAGAGTGTTCTCCTGGGTGTTCTGGTCCACAATGTAGGCATGTGTTCGAGTCCCACCTCCGACACATACTTTTCGGGGTGTGGCTCTCTAAGAAAAACACCTGCTTCGGTCTGGGCACCGGGCAGTAGTACAGCTCTCATAGAAATCGGATGATTTATGTGGTGCATATCTGTTTGGTGCCTCCTTCTACCAATGTTGTTGTGTTTAAAAAAATAAGTCTTATTCAAATACTTGTTCAAACTACTGAAAAAGTGACATACTGTCCTCAGATAAAATTAAACATAACCATTTTCAATCCAGCATCATCAACATTATCATTTTAATGATAAAACCGTTGTGCTAAGTAATTCAAACTCATAGTGCTTTCTTTCGAACTCGAGAGGTTGATGATAAACAAAAATGGTCATTTGGTTTTCTAGACCAATAAGAAATAAAAATTTTGAAGAATAAAAAACGCCCAAATTCCGTTAATTCCTTTGCAGATTACGGTCTAAAACATTCAACTCCTAAGACATTTCTATTATGCCACATAATTAGGTTATTCATTTCTATTCATGGTGTCCTTGTATATTCTTATGAATCTAATGAGCTAAATATTATTCTTCGCTAATTTTTTTGTCATAACGTCTAACAATTATCTAAATTCACTTGGTGTTGTTTTACTTGTATCTTCCCATTGCTATTTAGTACTGCGTTCGGTCAGTCTCATGTTGGCATATGTGCATTCTGTGTGGATTGCCCCGATATAGTCTTAATTCACAAACATTATAAGCAAAAATGGAAAGTGGCTAGTAGTAGAATCCAGTTTCGTCCTATTTGGGATTCATTACCTGGATGTACCTGCATCCGAGAGTTGGTGTTCATTCTGGGACTCGAACCCATTGCCGTTCTCTTCACATACTATCTCGTCATCCAATTAGCTACTGAGTCCTGATTGCCACTTGCTTGTGCAATGGGGTGAAGTTTAAATTCACTTGGTGTTGTTCTACTTGTGCCTTTTCATTGTTATTTAGGACTGTAATTGATCAGTCTCATGTTGGCATATGTGCATCCTGTGGGGTCGCCTTGATATTGCCTTAAGTCACAAGCCAATTTTTTTGTCATAACATCTAACAGTTATCGTTTAAAATCAGTCATAGAAATAATTCATCGAAAATAATGCTATAAAAACGTTTTGCAGAGTTTAAAGATATTCCATTCTAAAGTTTACTAACAATGTGAAAATAGGATTCTATACAGAAGGGCAATAGCAAACTACAATTAAACAGTTTTTTTACGTTAGAAATATCACATGTTTCATATTGACTAACATGCACAAAAATGCACAAACATGTCTCGCATGGAATCCCCTTGACCCATATGTCGTGTCATTGACTTATTTAGAATTATTTTATTTGTACTAGGTATGTTGCTTTGTTCCTTTGTACTTTTTAAGCTTGTGTTAATTTAACTCGACTATTCATTTATTCTTTGTAGACGTGACTGACATTGAGCCGTGAAACGTCAAAACTTCAATCCTCTAGTCATCACAATGTCACGAACATAACATTATTTTTCATAATAATCTGACAACCTGTCGTAATTACCATATTTTTTGTCTGATGTCCACATAACGAACAATTAATTCGTTCTTGTTTAATAATCGTTACTTTACTGTATCTTAATTTTCCCTAATTCAGTTTCTTATTCAAAAAGGTTCTAAGGGATACGGATTTACTTTATGTGGTAATTGTCCAGTTTACGTTAGCCATGTGGAACCGGGTTCACCGGCAATGCAGTGTGGAATACAAGCTGGTGATTTTATAGTTGCAATTGATAACATAAATGTCTCACGATCCACAAGTAATAGTGTTGTTCGCATGTTCAGGTGAGTAGAATTCTTAAACAAAGTCTTTTTGTCATTGTCAAGTCTGGAACAAACGTTTTTGAATAGATCAAAGTTATTATTTATAACTGTTGCATTAAGGATGATACGGGAGTGAATGTCTGAGCGAAAATACTCACTTCGATAATAACTCTAATCACCACAAAACAAGAGTTTCACAATGTAATATCCACCACTTTGAGTTATTTTAAATAAGAGTAAACCACATTATCAAATCCCTAAAACCTGTAAATGAATGAAGTCTAATCCAAGTTGGTAGTCTCTAAATTGTCTATATAGTTTCAATCTATAGAAAGAAATAAAATGATAATATTACTGATAAGTCTTGCTAATTGAACGCATGATTGGTTCCTGAACTCTTCTAGTAACCCCCAGGCTAGAACTACACAGAGACTTGAACACTTAAGAAAAGAAATGAAATATGTAAGAAATATTTTATTCCAAAGGTTCGTTTATGTACAGAAAATCTAGGGCTTTTTATAGTATTTTATATGTCTTTTCGTTTCCAGAAAGTTCTGGAATGCTACTAAACATAGTACCAGTATAAGTAATCATCTAGTCAGGAACTCAACATGTGACGTTTCATTTTCTAGATGCTTCTGGCAAAAGTTTGACTGAACACTGATTGAATAAGACACTTCTCAATGTTTTTAGAGCCTTTCTTGGCTTTTTTCGAGGAGTTTTCTAGATCTCCCCAACAATTGCAAGTTTTAAATTTTGTTTACTCGTCAACAAGTTAACCAGATGTTTGAAATATCCGGATTATCAATTAAGAAATTTTATTCTTTATTGTTTTATCGATGTGATGGGAATAGCGTGAAATTAAATAATCGTTATTGATTGTCCAATGTTGAGAATTGCATTTTGGTACTCCAGAAGATACTATAAAGAAAATATAATCATTAAGTTAGTTACTGTGTAAACGATGATTATCAATGAGTTAATATAAATGAACTTAATTTTATGACAAAGTTAAGATGACACATCCTTGGAACTGGATAATTTAATTTTAAAGTTTTTGATATCATTTTGGATATACCATCGGGTTTTGCTTGAATGAGAAGTGAACATTTCCAAAGTTATTGCATAAGAGCCACAGTCCTGTTTCTACATGATTCTAAGCCGGAAGTTTTCATTTCAGCATGCATTTTCATTCTTGTTTGTTTTTCTGTTAAATTAATCTATTATCATATGATTTAATTCATATACATTAATCTATTAATTTGATCTACGTTATTTATTGAATTTAAGTTGACCTACGTTTCACAACTGAAACTGTAAGCATTTTGTCTATTCAAACAGTCGACACATTCCAAGTTCAACTCGTGTTGTTAGGTGTTTGCATGCATCGATATAGGTGGATATAAATTATTACGTTTAACTGATAATCTGTGTCCGCATATTCGTAGGCGAAAGCAACACAAGTTCTCACTTAGTACTATACATTGTATACATGATGTTAAATTTGTCTTTCTTCATTAATGTCACGTTCAGTCTAAAGAAATCCATTTGGTAAATAAAGAAGGAACGAATTGAGCGAAGAAATTTCTTTTCAATTGGTTTCTCATCATGGCTCTACACTAATATATATATATATATATATATATATATATATGTATATATATATATATATGTTTTACAATAATAATATAATACTCATCGAGTGGATATGTTACGTAATAATTACATAATGACATTTAAATTAACATTGAGTAATTGGAAGAAAGAGGATTATTAATAATCAACCATTACTCTCAAAAGAAATCCATTTACTGATAAACGATACAAGTTTGGAATGGTATCAGCAATATTTTATAAGTTTTTTTAAGTGCTTTTCCTATAATTTTGGAGCAAAAAGACTGTCACAATCATAGACCTTTAAAAAATCATTAGCCTTAACTTCTAAACTTTTATTAATACAGTGGCTTATTCACTACGATGTTAAATGATTTGATAACATACTATCAATATAAAGCATTCATGTTACTGATTTGCATATTTTAGTTATTACATTGTAACTTCACCAATATAATTCTAACAGCACTAAGGATATGATGAACATGACATTAGTTAATACCCAGTAATCAATCAATATACATGCTAAACACCTTACAAATCTATTGAATCAAATGTCGTTCCTTTTTACTGCTATGTATGAGCATACATACAAGCGAAAATATTATCCAGTTACATTATGCTTTGTTTGTTAGATCTTAAACATTAAATTTAGTTGTAAAAACTTTACAACTGCAAAGACAATACTCTTCTTTTAATGCAAACATATTGCAATGCAAATGAGTAAAACAAGTAAAGTTAAGGTCATTAGGTAAAATCGAACTCTTTATCTTTGGAAAACTTACGAACTATAACCAATAAGAATCCAGATTATTAAATAAGGAATCAAAAATCTTCAGACCATTCTAGCCAGTCAATCACACTGAAGTTATTAAACGCTTCCAAATGAATCGTTCATACAAATTGTGTTAACGCACTGTGAAAATGTGCTCTAAATATTTTACTATTAAAACGTTTATTTTTAACAATGTTGAGACTATAATTTATGAACGACGTTTGAGCGACGCTAAAGTGACCTTGGGAATGTCCACCTACTTACTAGAGCTAATTGATGGTTATAAAGCAGTATGAAGAGTAAAATATTATGATTTACAGTTGATGGTTAGGAATTAGATTTATGGTTTTCATCACGAACTGACATCAGCTAAAATGTCAGGACGCTATTTTGACAATTGGGTGAATGAATTTCGCTCCAAAATCCTAAACCTGTCATTCTAAATCTGATTGGTTCGTCCATAAATTATAGTCTTGTTTGGTGTAAATTCATACTTGAAATATCTTTTATTAAAAATTACCAGCTTCTTTAACATTTATTCTGTTTTTTTTTCATTTCACATGAAATCTAGAATGTCTCAGCATCCTGTTCATATTACTATTTCACGTCCTGTCCTGATAAAACCTAGTATGTCAACTACCAGTAATGCACACTCAACTAGTAGTAGATCTCTTGGAAATTTAATTAATAAAACATGTTTTTCTGCACATAAAAAGTTATCAAAGGGATCAACAAAATTGATTCAACCAACAAATATTTCAAAAGTGAGTCATTCAGAGTTTTTTTCATCTTTACCATATCATCAACATCCTTATGATATATCTTCACTACCATCATCTTCATTCATAACAGTTCCATTAACTTCATCTTCATTTATTGACTGTTTAAAACTTTCCAGTTATCTTAATTCATCGAATTTACATCACAATTCCAGTTCAACAATTTGTTCATCTATAAATCATTGTATAATACCGAAATTCTCTATTCCTCAATCTATTTCTTTACATAAAACAATGGATGAACAATTGACTAGAATACATCAAGATAATTCTCAAATAGCTTCTATTCTATCCCCTAATCAAAATATTCCTCATCATAATCAGGAACAACAACAACAACAACCAATAAATGCTGTAGACGATATCGCTTTAGTTAGAATACCATGTAACGAAAATTATACAAAATCTAATAAAGTAAGTTTTAATTTTTCTTTTTTTCTGCACAAGACACTGGTTTGTTGTTCAACTTTTGAATAATCAGTCTTTTATAAATAAAACCATTGCTCTTTTACTTAATTATTGAATTGAGTTAAATGATTACTTACATGGAACTCTATTATATAATTTAAGTCCAACTGGTTGAATTTCCATGGTTCATCAGGACGTTTGGTACCTGTGTGGTCGCGCCATAGGATTGAGCTGTACTATACAGATTGTAGCGTTAAAGCCTATACGGTGTCTGGTTCTCTTGTGAAGCGGGATTGAACTGTACTGTTCGTGTTAGGCGTGGGTGGTGTCTCGCTCTCCTGTTAAACGTGAGTGAGCTGATCTGTTTGGGTTGTCACGTGAACGTCTGGATAGTGTCTAGTTCTCCCAAAAACCAATGTAAAATTACCCTGGCATACAAGGGTATATTATATAACTGATTAAATTTCTTAGTAAGTAATTCAAACAATTATTCCTGAAAGCTAAATGGTACAATCTTTGATTGTGAAATCAGATAACCTGGTTTAAATCCAATGAGTAGAGTAAATTACGTCATGATTACAGGTCATGCTTTGCTGAAGTGATGTCACCTAGTTTAAAACATAATTTTAAAGCTTCCTACTGATTCCTTCGAATAGCCTGACATTTCTGATTGTATCGTTATTGATCTAACGTCTAACATTTAAATGAGTTAATATTAGGGTAAGCTTATAATACGAAATCCGAAAAAAGTAGTATCACGTTGACTAAAATGAAATAAACGGAACTCTGATAAAATCTGTAATGGCTTTGCTTCGTTAATCGATCACTTCGATAACCTTCATAATATAAATCTCAACAGTATTTGAAATTAGAAGGCAATGAGAAGCGGCAACTACAGTTTATTAGCGGATAGCGCACATTACAAAGCTATAAGCACATCAAGCGAATTTGAAGCAGTGAGGTGAATATGTGTGTGCGAACGAATACATAAGCAAATTTATGGTCGAATTGCATAAAGGCACAACAACGCAAAGCAAAAGCTAATAATAGGATTTGAGTACATATATACATGGGGAGGAGGATGAACCATGAAGTGATATTTAAGAAATCAACATTTTAGCTCGAGTCTGTCATGTGATCTAGTGGTCATAACGGTACAACGAAATATGCGAATTGTTACTGTTGAAATAACATTATCTATTAGGTGAGTTAATAAAAAAGGCCTAACTAAGATTAACCATACTCGAAATTGGTTGTAGGATAGTTGCTATAAGTCTATTAACACTCAGAACTAAGCAACTTCATTCATTCAATAGACCTACTTGTAATTATTTTCAAGTAAACTGATTTTAATACGACATATTTTTTATACTCTACGTTGAGTGTGCAAGACTGTAGTAAGCAATACTTGGAGACGTTGGACGACATAGTTCAGATTTTGTCATAATGGTTGGGATCCATTCACTATTTGTCATCCCTTGGATCTATCGTTTTAAAATTACTGTATTTTTTTATCCAGTAAATTCATTCTCTTTTCTTGAATCAAGTTTTTTTTAATAAGAAATCTTGTTTACTACTATCGGTAATGTTACTATTTCCCCTACTTTGACATTTGGCTTGACGAACACATCTCACTGTTGTGTTATGACTTGTCAACCTTAATCAATGGACAATTGTGCCAGATTTCATGATGCTTGTGGATGACCAACTAATTATATTAGCTTATCATAAATGGACACAATGAACTGTTTTCGCATTGGCTGTGACTGATATATGGCTTTGCAGTAACCGTATGAACTCAATGCCACTACCGACCATCCACAACTTCTTACAAGTGAACTTTATGTATAGAAAATAACATAATTTGTGAAAGCGAAATGATTTTTATCGAAAGAGGGATTACAAGAATTATTAAATAACCGTTACAGATCCCACAAAAGTTTTTTTTTAAAAACACTAAACAGACGTAATTTCAATCTATTTGTATATATCGATTTGCTACCTGTATTATAACTTCGGTTTTTCGTGTGTGGCATTCCCTAGTACTATTCAGGTGAACTGAACTTATATTTACGTTGAAGAGTGCTTTGATGATTAACCTGTGAAAGCGCTTCTTATGATGTTTTATTCATTTATTTGTATAAACACATAAACAGTGGTACAAGAAGGCACCAAACAGTTATGCGTCACATAAATCATTTGATTTTTATAAGGGCTGAGATACTGCCTAGGTGCAAACCGAAACAAGCGGTTTTCTTAGGGGGCCACATCCCGAGCCCTTGACCTAAAAGTTTAAACTACAAGACACTGGAGCAACGTAAGGAGATGCCGTCCCATAATAGCCAGTGACCAACGATTGGTTCATACGCCATTTGTTCACTCAGGATCCTGAAGCCCATGGGCACCATTGGTTTGAATGAGGGTTTTCCAACTCCTCTAGGGAAAAGCAAGATTCTCCCATACAACACATCATGCACCAATCAAATAACACTTGACGGAGAAGCTTTGGAGGATGGAAATACCTTTACATATCTGGGCAGCATCATTGATGAACCCGGTGGATCTTATGCAGACGTGAAGGTGTGGATCGGCAAAGTAAGAGCAGCATGTTCACAACTGAAGAACATCTGGAACTCAAAACAAGTGTCTGTTAACCAACACCAAGATCACAGTTTTCAATACAAATGTCAACACAGTTCTACTGTATGGGGCGGAAATTCGGAGAACTACGAAAGCCATCATCAAGAAGATACAAGTGTTTATTAACAGTTATCTTCGTAAAATACTTCGGATCGGTTAGCTAAACACTATCAGCAACAACCTATTGTGGGAGAGAGAACAAACCAGATTCCAGTGGAGGAATAAATCAGGAAGAAGCGCTGGAAGTGGATAGGACACACATTGAGGAAAGCACCGAACCGTGTCACAAGACAAGCCCTCACATGAAATCCTCAAGGCCAAAGAAAAAGAGGAAGACCAACGAACACATTACATCGAGAAATGGGGACAGATATGAGAAAAATGAACAAGAATTGGATAGAACTGGAAAGAAAGGCCCAGGACAAAGTCGGTCAGAGATCGCTGGTTGGCGGCCTATGCTCCACTGGGAGTAACAGGCGTAAGTAAGTAAGTAAGTAATTCAATACAAGAATATGTAGTCAATTTAGTATCAAAATTATGTTAATAATGATAAAAATGAATTTAATCAATTATTTCCACTTTTTTCCAATGAAAATTTCACTAATCATACCAGTTTCTATAATTGCGCATCAATGAAACAATTAAATCAATATCAATCACAATATCCAATGAATATGGCGATGACGATGATGATGATGATGAAAGCACCAACTGTACAATTTAGTTCAAATCAATTTCATACTGATTTAGAATATTATGGTTGGTTGAATCTTCTTGAAATAAAAGGTTGAATAAAAGTTCAATTATCATTATTATTTCCTAATTTATTACTAATTGTACAAAAAAATTCTAACGATTTCTTTACTGTGATTAAAGATCTTATTTATCATACAAAAATAATACATAATAACATTCCACAATATGCATCAGGTAAGTGAATTAATTATTAAAAATTCATGAGTCATTTGAAGCTATACAACCATAGAAAACCTAGAAGCACTGGACAGCCGTTTCGTCTTAGTATAGGACTCCTCAGCAGTGTGCATTCACGACCCCGCCTCGCGAGATTAGAACCCAGGACTTATCGGTCTCGCGTGCGAACGCCTAACCTCTGAACCAACAGTGTTAATGTTCAGCTTCAACCAATCCACAAAATTGAGCCAATGTCCACCAATGTCATCATTGAGTTACTATCTCACAACTGACTCGGTTTAATTCCACTGATCATCACCGTCCAGTGCTTCCAGGTTTTCCATTATGGTCTAGTTTTAATTAATTCATGAATTCAACAATTAAATTGCTATAATATTCACAAAACCTCTCTCTCATTTTAATAAAAATGATAGTAAAACTACTTTTACATAGTTCGAAATCATTTATTTGAAAATTAAGGATTGTAATTGATATTTAAATATATGATGAATGCAGTGTAAGGTATTCAGTATGAATCTATTTGTAATTCATTGATTCAATTATTTTCATTATGTTCCCACCTGTAAATAAATGAACTCAAGTTATGTCTCCGGTATTGTTTTAAGCTGACAATTCTTATCGAGATTATTAAGAATTGATATGTTGTATTTAGATCATAATTAAACTTCCATGTGGCTGCTTGAAACTATACAACGACACTTTACAGAATCTTCCTGAAGAAAACATATTTGAAAATGGATGGTTAGTTAGGTGATATGAAAAGATTATTTCAGTCTCCAGACAGTTTTTGTCATGGACTGACATTAGCTCATATGATATTATGAAGCTATGGTTTCCTACACTATCTCTGTTGTATAAAATTACAAAGTAGTTGACAATATAAGCTGGTATGAATGTCAAACAAGCTTTGTTAGTAAAATACGATCTTATTTTTTTACTATCAGTTTTTTGGTAATAAAGATTAAGATAAATATACCTGAAAAATATGATCAATTACTAACTTCGATATCACTCATACTCATAATGGTTAATTTTACATCATTCAATATTATTTGATAACTTACATACTAACCCCAATGTATAGCAGATCATCTTAGTATTCTGCTCAAAGTTTTAGCACTCTTAATAAGTACAGCACACCAAATAAAATATGCACAAACAAATAAACCAGATTATTAGTTCGATTCCGTACGTAACGTCATAAAAATGTCAGGGGTGGAATGGTTTCATATGTCAATAAAGCTGGTGATTGCATAACTTATTTCACAATAACTATCTAACATTACTATATCAAGCCGACCAAGTGTACAGTTACAAAAAGCAAGTCGCTGATTACTATTCAGTCACCGGGTATTGTAATTTTGTATCTCAGCAGATGTTCAGTAAAGCAAATGAATGTGGTGATTTCAGTTCGTGGTTTAAAAATGAAAGAAGTAAAAGAATTCTTTAGATTTGAATTTCATTTCGTACGACTACATTTTGTCACCAAAAAGTCT